AAGTTCGGAGTGGAAAAGGGCAATGCTGAATTCATTCCGGAGAATGGAGCTGGGTCTCCTGAGCACAGGCAGCAGCTGTTCTTCCTGAACATGGAGCGAAAGATTTGAGCAAACTCTCTGGGGAGTTTTTAATTTTCTATCCGCTGATTTCAGAGCCGTTTTCCTCCAGACGTGCGAGTCAGGGCTCTGGGAGGCTGCGTGCATGCTGATGCGGCGGGAGGCAGCGTGCGGGGAGCTGAGCTTGCACAGCCGCGCCAGTGCAGCCCCGCGTCTTCTCGTGGCACAGGTCGCACCTCTCGGCTCTGTCCAGGGGAAGTTCGACAAGCAGAGTTTGTGAAAATGTTTTCCACCCAAAAGCAGCACAAAGAGGTGGCTTTGGCACAGAGCCCAGCAGCTACTGGCTGTGCAGCCTGGTGCAAACCCACCAGGAGCCCTCCTCCCTTTTCACTCTTTACTTCTTCAAAATTCCTTATTTTGGTGAAGTAGATTGCTTTGGAGGGGAAAAAGGGTATCTCTCTTTTTTAAGGCTGATTTGGAGTAAATTAAACAACTTTTTTCCTTTGGCACGATGATTTGGGGATGCCTAGGTTTGTTTGCCATGCACCCTGAAGCCTTTGGATGAAACCAAAGTGAAAAGTGCAGCAATCAGTCATTCTTATCATCGGAGAGTGAGCGCCCAAAGCAAGGGCACCGAGTTCCGAACTGCTCTCTGCAGCATGACATCCATCAAACGCAGCAGCGTGTGCCAGCAGAGGTGTGCACAAGCCAAGCACACGCAAACGTGCATCGGTGCCGAGGGCAATTGAGTCCCCTTGGTGCTGAGCAGGGCTCTGGGCAGAGCTGGTCCTTGGAGCTGCAGTGACTGCAGCTGGGGCTGGAAGCTGCCGACAGCGTTTGTGCATCTCAGCACACACACACACGTGTTCTGAGTACTGCTCCAGAACTGCCTGGAGGTAAGGAGGGTGTTTGTTTAAAGCCCGTACAGAGATGTTCTCTGATCTGAGCGCTGTGCTGTAATCAGAAATCACATCTGCAGAGCGCTAATTGGGGGACAGGAGGTTGGGCTGGGCAGAAGCCATCGGGAGCCAGGCTGGGAGCTGTGGGTGTGTGGCTGCTGGTGACACTGTGGTGGCCCTGCCACCAGCTGCTGCCACCAGCCTCTGCCCCTGTGCCACAGCTCCGGGAGGCAGCGAGCTCAGTGCTCCCTGCGAGGGGATTTCATGTACTCCTGAATCCTCATTCTGTGCTTCAAAGAGTACCTGCAATTAACTGCTTGCTCCACTTCCACTAGGGAAGATGATATTTTTTTCTTCGGTTCATTATAAATAAGCATCCAGGGAAATATTAAGTCAGGAATTAAATTCCAGCTACTTAGGCATTGACACAGGAGTACATCATCTGAGTATCTCAGCCTGAGAAATAAGACGACAAAAGCTTATGTAAATAGAGGAGCTTACACTCGGCGCTGGCTCCTCGCTCTGCCAAAAGCACTCCCCGAGCCCCTGGGTGTGGGGACGCCCACGGCTGCTCCCCGGGGGTGTAGGGACTGGCCCAGCCCATGCACCCCTTGGAATAAACCTCCCTTCCAGATAGAAGTGACCTGATTTGGGGAGGGGTTTCCATACCCAGCGCAGTGCTTTGGCTGCCCACCAGCCCCCTGCCCTGCAGAGCAGAGCGCAGCGGTGCAGCTCATGCTGTGCAGGTCAGCTTTTAAGTGCATCCCGCCTTACTGCTGGAGTCTGAGGAGTTTCAATTCAGAGGGGGGAAACCTACTAAATCTTGTTGAAATGCTTGCGATCTGTTAATAAGTAAATTGCTCATTTAATTATCTTGACTGTGGTTTTGCTGAGCTCATGTCATTGCCAATACAAAGAGAAAAAAAAAAAAAAAAGAAAGAAAAAGAAAGAAGAGAAAATAACAAAATTCTCTTGGATTAGCAAAACTTTGATTATGGGCTACTGGCACAACCTTCCTTGGGTTACACCATCAAGGTACATGAAGTAAAGACGGCTGGACCCGACAAAGAATGACTGGTAGCCACGTCTGCACGTTTGGTTAACGTGGTTACGTGTGCTCTGTAATTCCTGCTTTATCCCTCCACGACAAGGCAAACTCGGCTGATGTTGCTATCAAACGTTACGCCGTGCCTAGCGGGCTGCACGCTCGCTCCGCAGCGCTCACCAGCAGATGAGTAACGCTCCCCAGTTAACTCTGTTTTTTTTTTTCAGGTGGGATTGGAGCTGCTTTGTTTCCTCCGGTTGCCAGAAAAGGGCAAATGAGCAGCGTTTGGCCTGGAGATGCTGTCTGGGCACAGCCCCTCTCCGTGGGCTCAGCGCCCCCCCACACCCCTCCTCGGTTCGGCGTCCCAGCTGCCGTAATCTCTTTAGAGCAGGCTCGGCATGAAGATAACGACGCCTTTGATGGCTGGAACCCGTTATGATCATGCACTGCTTGGTCATGTCAGGGATAAAAATAACTCCTGTATTTTCAAGGTGTGCAAATGTCAGCTTTTGATAAAAGCAAAGTGAATTTGGAAGGGCATGGCCCCAATTCAGCTGACTGCCGTCAGCCTGTGCAGAGCCCGTGTTCAGAACGTGCTAACTGCCGTCAAACAGGCGTGTGTTTAAGCATCTACTTAAATGTTGCACTAATTAGGACCTGTGAGAACTTGTGTGGTAATTACATTTTTCCAGCTACACTGCAGCTACTATTATTTTATAAATAGATGGAGCAAAAGCAAATATGTCTGTTGCTACCGCACCTTGTGCTTTAGATTAAGAAACACCAGCTGCCTTAAAAAAAATAAAAATAAATAAAAATAAAAAAAACTGATTTATTATTCACTCTGAACACACTTTTAAAAATCAGGAATAAATACCAAAGTCAAAATATTTGGTTTCCACAGAAAGGCAAGCCTGCTGGAGGACTTCTTAAGGCATGGAGGCTGAGGAGGTGCGTGCTGCGGAGCCGTGGTGCAAAATGAAGGGAAGTGGCACAAATAGTCGGAGATCAAAAGATTCTCCTTCAGCTCCGATTCGGTTGGCATCGAGCTGTTGTGCTGGACGTCGCTTCACCTCCCCGTGCCTGAGACCCTCTGTGGTGACCTGTCACAGCCTTCCCCGCTGCCACCGCGGGCGGTGTGCTCGGCGACGCAGCCGAGCCGCAATGGCTTTGCTTGTGGGACGGGAAAGCACTTGGCAGGATTTATGCAGCCGGTACCCGCTCTGACACGAGGCACGTCCCTGCAAGCATTACTGGAAGGTGCTCAGATCCAAGGCTGGAATGAGAGCCGACTCTGAGCAGCATATGGGTAAATGATTTAGACACTGAGCAATCACGCGTTGTTAAAGGCCTAGCGGGAGAGCTCCCCTGGTCTCATAATAAGCCCGGTTAGCGTGTTTATGGCTGTGGTACGTATGGTAAATATAGTGGTAAATATAGGCATTTTGTCTGAACACATTTAAGCATTTTCTCCCATCAGGCTGTGGCCGTTTTCAGTTTAAATGGTGATAACACTTTTTGGAGAATGAGTTATGGATATCGGGGAGAGCTCTGTAAAACGAGACCCCTGCCTCGCATCAGCACCGTGGCAGCGGGATGAGCACCGTCAGACACCGATGGCACGGGCACGTCCCAGCAGCCACCCTCGCCCCGCCGCCGAGCCGAATAATCCTCTTTTCCCCAGCCAGAACAAGCACTTCATAAATATTCATCTGCTCAAATGAAAGCATTAGCCCTTGTTTCCTCGAGTGGAACTAACTGAAAATTGATGATAGTTTTCTGAAAATGCAAGATTATGTACACAGAAGCAATTATATGTAAACTTATTAATTATTTAACAGCTCGTTAATGAGCAAGGTTCGTTCGCGTCGCTCGGGTTGGCCCCACGGTTGGTGCCGCAGGCGACCGTGGCTCCACGGGATGGATGGGCAGGGGAAGCCACAGAGCTGGAACGTGTTTCAGCTGCTGGTGTCTGAAAAGCCAACCTCTGAACCCAGCTCACGGGGTGCAGGCACTGCTCGAGCTCACGGGGAAGCTCACGGGGAAGCGCAGGAGCTCAGAGCCCGGCCTCCCGCGCCAAGAGCGCCTGCTCGCAGCCTTGAAGCATTAGCTACATTATATGCCTTTGAAATCCTCATTAAACATGCATAAATGGAAATAATTTGATTTTCTAACACAAGCCAACCATTCGCATTCACACAGGCTGCAGGCCCCTCGTGCAGCGGCCGTGCCCAGCCCCTCGCACCCTGCCGCAGAGCGGGCTGGGGACCCCAAAGTACCTTCATCACGGCAGGGCTGGCAGTCTGCAGCACACGGTGAATATTCTTCAGTTTTATTAAACTTCCCAAACATCCCAAGCTCTATTATGTGCCATCAGTGCCTAACTTCTTTATTTGGCTGGATGTCGGGGGCCAGAGTCGGGTCAGGTCCTATTGTATCCTAAGCACGGCGCAGTCGTTTGGTGGGTGACAGGAATGATGAAATTTTATTCAATAACTGATGTAGCGCCACATTCAGAAATATTTTTTACATCATTGTGACATGTGCCAGAACTCAGATATGCGCTTGTAAATTAGTGCACAGCACTCGGCAGTTTCTGGCTAATGAATTCCAGCAAGCAATTTTCTTTGAGATTTGTGGAATATTTTTGCATTACGGATAATAAAAGTAAAAACTAATAAACACTTGCCCATGTAAATGAAGGGAAGTACATTACTTACGCTAAGTAGATTATGTGCATTAATTACAAGTAAATTACTTCCATGAGTGCTAGTGGACATGGAAAGCAAAATATTTGGTGTAATTGCATATGTGTGCTCCTCCACGTGTTAAGCCCCAAGCCAAGCCTCCACCCATGCAGTGAGGTGTGGGATGATGATGAACGCCAGCTGGTCCAGGAGCTCACCTGTGAACCACAGCTCAGATGGAGAGGAAACTTTTTGATGACAGAGGGTGAAGCTATAAATGATCCCATTAGAGGGTAAGTTACATCTTAGCACTCTCATGGACTCTTTCTTCCCCTATATTTTGTTTCAGGGTAGAAAACCCTTCCTCTTTTTTTGCGAATCAAAATCTCCAAGTCTGGGGTAAGAGCTGTTCCATCCTGATTCCCTCTTAAAATGATATTAGAGGAGAAAGAGGAATGTTTCACAGAGTGAGTGATAGCAGGGAGTGGTAACAATAGCAACAGCAAGGAAAAGGAAAGAAGAAAGGGAAATGATAAAAGCTCTGACAGGGCTAGAAGAGGGCCCACGATGCAGCAGGCAGCGCTTGGTGTGGTAGCAGCAGCTTTGGTCGCTGCCTGGCACGGGTGCAGCAAGGCAGGATGGCAAGGGGCCAGCGCAGGTGGGTTTGTGGCTCTGGTGCTGTATGGCAGGCACCAGCAATCATCCCTGTGCTGGGAGCTAATCTATTGCTTTGTGCTTTAATTCTGTCTTACCTTTAAATTTTAGTTTCAAATTAAATGTAATCTAGATTATTTAAATGGGATACAGTCTGCTTCCAGATTGCAGAACCAGTCTGGTGGCAGCATTTCTCCCCATGATCTAATTTGCTTATTCCTAAAGGAAGGGATGCAAGATCTTGTTAATGGAAGCCTACAAAGATGGTGTTTTAATTTCAGCAAACAGGAAAGCTGTCACACTGTTATATGAGCAATGGAAAAATTATTAGGGGCATTATTACAGACACATTCATCCCATTAGCACAAATGGGAACAGATAGGCAAGGCTTCTGATGTCTCAGTGATCATTATGAGGGAAACGGGATTCCACATCAGTCTCTAAAATGTATTGCCATTATTTTATTGATCATTATTAATATAAACATGATGAGCAAAGTGAACATGACTTTGTCAGAAGACACGTAGGTTCCTGGGGGGAAGAAGCCCTACCACATTTCTAAATACCTATCCCTGATCGAGGGTTTCATCATATTATTCATTCTGGAAACTGTGAACCAGGAAAGTTAAAAGGAAGAAAATTGCCACCATAAACCTAGGTGGTTTAACATGCAAATGATGTCTTTTATTCCCAGCAATAGAACTGCTAGGTTTTTAATTTTACTCACTACGCTCAGCTCGCTGCCTGTGCAGATGCTGTAGTCCTACAACTCTGACTGGGGTCTATCCGTATTTTCACGAGTAAAGCGTTGCCATTGAACATCTTTCAGATCTGTGATAATTTAATTAACCTACCCTATTCTGTCACTGCTCTTGTAGCAGGGGAAAAGGATTCAGACATCCAGGGAGTTATTTCATTGCCTGAGCACATACATCTCCAACACAAAAAGTCACAGAACAGTAATTTCCCCACCTGGAGATCTCACCGTGAGAGCGTTTAAATTATAGATCACCTTCATAGACATGTGTCAACTGCTTGGGGTAAGGAAGGAGCTTGGTCTCGGAGGAGCAGAAGCCGAGCAGCAGCACCGGTGCCTCTGTGGGGCCGTGCGCCGCGGGGCTGCCAGCCGGGGGGGGCAGCCGGTGCCCCCCGTGGGTTTTCGGAGGAGCTGTGTGATCGCTGCAGTCAGACACGCTCCTCCGAGGTATTTGCTCTTGCTCTGTCTTGTTTCTCATCGCTGTAAATGGTTCTCGGGGAAATGTCACAGAAATAGGAGCCGTGCCCGTTTAGGCACAACTGTGGGTTTTCTGCCTGGCTTTGGCCACCGCCTGCTCGCCTCCCATAACCAAATGTCATCAGAAATCCCTCCGGCCTGGCCTTGTGCGCGCAGCCAGGACGAGGCCAGGCGGAAATTTTCATTTCAGTGAAACAGCCTGGGCTCAATATCTGCCCGTGAGTGGGTGGCAGCCACTGAGCCTGAAAAATCCTGTTTTCTCTCGTTGTGAGAGCTGGGCTGTGAGCGTGAAGGAGGCAGCCTGGGCCATGGTGCTGAGCCCTGCCAGGCGGCTGTGCCACTGCTGCGCCCAGCGGTGCCAAAAGGGGGATTTCTGAGGGCACCCCAGTGCGAGCAGGCATCCAGCCACCCCCCTGCTCTCAGAGAGCCTTCGTGCCTGTGATCCTCCTGCCCCTCCAAGGTGACACCTCTGCCCCATGGCACGTGTCCCCTGGGCTGGTCCCTTGCCAGCTGCATGGAGGGATCCTTGTGTCCCCAGACCGTCCAGAGACCCCAGGGTGCAGAGCCCGGTTCAGCAAGGAGCTGGCAGCTCGTGGCTGTCCCTGGCAGAGCCCAGCTGGACCAGAGCTGCCACCTGAATGAGATGAGCACAATTAACCAAGGCAGATTGGAATTGACACCTATTAATTATGTATTGAACAGCAAGAAGGCAATCACATGGATGCATCAGCCAGTGACCTTGTAATGAACAGCGAGAGCCTTCAGGAGCTGGGGGAGCAGCGCTGTGGGGCACTCGGGGCAGGAGCACCCACAGCAGCACGGTCAGGACCAGTGCCCACCAGCAGCCCGGCACTGGGAGCTCACTGCTCCAGGGACACGGCACAGGCACAGAGCATGCCGTGAGTACATGGTGTTATATTGAATTGACACACATTATATTAAAATGCCCGTGCAAGCAATCTATTAAACGGCTGGTGCCTGGTCACGTCAGATGGAGCTGAGCCTGCCCAGGCAGCTCCCGGGTGCTGGAGATGCAGGGGAAGCTCAGAGCCAGGTGCCACCACCTGGGCTTGCTGGAATCGCTGTGTGTCATTGCGTTTAACAGCCAGCTGAAAAACCCAGGTGCTTTTAGAAGGCCAAATGAATCTTAAAAGTTTAAAGGTAAGTTTTGACCCTGCCACTTGTCAATGTGATGCTTTGCAGCTCTAAAAATAGAGCGTCTCTGACAGAGGAAAGATATTTTTGGAAAAGCTAGTTACTGCAGCCAATCTTGCATCGTTACTGGAGCCGTGCTCAGAGCCTTCTTTTAATTTCCTTCTGCACATAAGTTTTATGAAGTGCGAAAAAATAACCGGTGCATGCCCTTGAGGAGCAGCAGTGCCCACTGGCACGCAGGCAGGCAGCCCCACGTGTCTGTCTGTCTGTCCGTGGGGGGCTCTGCTCCATTTGGGCAAAGGTGGAGCTGGGTGCTGGTGTCCAGCCCGACACAAAATGCTGTCTGTGTAAAAGTGCTAATCGGGAGGGCTGTCACACCAAACTGTAAAGCACAGCTGAGGATACCGAGCCTGGCAAAGCGTGTATGAACATCTGTGCTCGCAAGGAGAGGAGGGCACGCAGCGTGGGAAGCTGAGCAGATTCGCACAAAGGTGGCAGCACCGGCAGGCGCAGGATGCTGTAAGCAAGGAGTCAACAGAGTCGTGTTTTTGGAAGGTGACTTTTCTACAAGTAGCTTACATAAAAATAATAGGCAAGTGTGCGGGGCTGGCTATCACTCATTTGACATAAAAAGAGCATTTATCAGGGGTCACTGTCATGTTTCAGTTCCCCTTTAGCCATGCTTTTGTCAGCTTTAATTACACGGTGTGTCTGCTGGGCTGGAGCACATCTTGCTGTACGAGTGCTTCCACCCTCGGAGAGTAAATCTGCAGCCTCTGTGCCAGCACCTTCTCCACGGCACCACGGTGCCCAGCTGGGTGCTGGGGCTTGGGTGTTGGGGGAGCCTCGGCCAGCACCGTGTGGTGGGGGGGACGCGACTTCTGGTCCCCACTCAGAGGTGACAGGCATGCGGTTCCAAAAGCAGGCTAATGAGCTGCTGCAATCAGGTAGCAGGGATGGGAAGTGGCGGGGGCCCCAGGAGATGCAATTAGCCACCACTTCATTGCAGTCACTAACGCGAAGCCTGGTGCGAGCCGTTAGAAATTCCGATCCCGTGGGTCGTTCGCGTGCCCTCCGATGAACTGAGGGGAATGCCCCTGGCAGTTTATTTACTGAAGTCATTGCTGAAAACATATTTTGAGAGGGAATCTAAATATATGGAAGTAAGTAGAAATGATGAACTCCAGCTCAAAATGAATTCAGAAGGAGCAGGTAGTGAAGAGCATTTTTCTTTCTGTAAGCACTGACTCTCCAAAGACAGCGAGCTCAGCTCTGCCATGGCTCCCTAAAAATAATGGCAACTGCCTCAGATGTCTCTTGCAAGAACCGAAATTAATACCATTCTTCATTAGAACTGACACGTCCAAGTACTCCCCAAATGGTGAGTGTTAATAATCTGATTTCCAGTTATGAGCTGCGTGCTTTGGCCTTGGTGTCGTGGAGAGGTGGGAATGACGGGGCACCGCACCTGTGGCTTTTGCAGGAGCATCAGGAGGGGAAAAGCTCCCGGAGGTCTGAGCCCAGAGCTGGAGGAGGATGTCTGCCACGGGCAGTAAGGTTTCTGCTGCTGCAGGGAAGCCTGGCCTCGGAGCCACGGGGAAATGCCAGCCAAGCAGCCGCTGATGGCTGAAATGCGTTGCTGGTGGCTCTGTGACAATTTTTAATTATTATTTATGTCACTGAGCACTCTGCGTCTGAGGACATCAAGCAACTGCAACAGGCTATAGATAGGACTGTCTCCTCCTTCGCATCCTTTCCCAAAAAAGCTTGGGGAATGTGGGCAGAGCACACGACAGCACCCCAGCTTCCCTGCCTCCCTGCTGGCAGGTGAAGGCTCCTCCGTGCCGGAGGCTCCTCGAGGCTCCTGCAAATGCCAATCCTCAGCATTCAGCTGGCGTCTCCAGCCAGGGCTTTTTCCAGGTTGGAAAGGTTGTGCCATGACATCAGGAGTGTTCTCAATGAAAGAAATGAGAGATAAATCTTCAAAGACGCAGCCTCATTATCTATGTGGCATTTAAGCGTAATTTATGCCCAGCACCTTGCCACTTCCCTCAGTAGGAAATTACATTGTTGGTTCCCCAACACTCAGCTTCTACGGCAGCCGTGTCAAAAATATTGAAACAAATTGATCCAACTGGAGTTCTCTCTGCATTTTTATTGCTGATTTATCCATGTGGGCGAGGTGCTAAGTGAGCTGTGATCCTAGGAGGAGACGGGTGAGAGCAGGAACACTGCCCGGGCTGGGGGCATCTCGGAGGTCAGCACGGTCGAAATCATCCCACACACAGCCAAGGCCTGGTCCAGGGATCTGGCTGAATGCTCCTTACCTCGAGTTTTCCTTATTTTCCTTTTTAATCACATTGTAATTGGGGGAATCAGCAAAAAGATTAAAAAAAAAAAAAAAGAAAAAAAAAAGAAAAACAAACAAACAAGATTAATGAGCAGCATCAGGGGAGAAAAAGCGTTTTCTGGCCAGAGTCCTTGGCAGCAGTAGGAAATAGATGCTTCTCTTGGAGAGTTTTTAGCTGGCGCTGAGTTGCCAGCTGAGGAAGTCAAGTGAAAAGCAAGTGCCTGGAACCCGAGTTCACCGCAGCCTCCCTCTGCTTAGCTCATTTAGTGCCTCAGCCTGAGCAGTGGGTATTTGGATGTTTATTCCCAGACTAAATTGCTTTTGGAGCTCCGGCTCGTTTGTCAGTGAAAGAGAAAACAAGCTGTCGTTTGGACTCACGGCCCTTGTGGCTCCTTCCCCTGTTTGCTGATGCCGTGGAAGCAGGCACTGAGCATCCTCAGCCGTGGGCCAGCATCCTCCTCCTGCTGCCCTCGCCTGTGCTGGACGTGGCTGCGCGTCCCCCCGGGGGGTTTTGGCACCTGGACGCTTTTCCTGAAGTCCCAGGCTGGCAGCCAGCCCCACCACAGTGCCAGAGCTCGCTCCTTGGCTGCCCACAGGCACCGACAGCGCCGAGAGCAGCAGCTCCGGGGAGCTCCACAGCATCCCAGTGGCCTCTCGTCGGCAGCCCACAGCTCCGAGGTGCCAATGTTTGTGACTGTGGAAAGCTCGGCTCCCGGCGCTGGCACACGGCGAGAGTCTCACACATGCAGAACGGCGCTTTGAAGCTGCAAAATTTTGGGGGAAAAGTTTCACACGTTCATGAATAATCAGAGTTTGTACCAAACTGCGGAGCTTCCCGGATCCTTTGAGCTTCGTACTTTGCTCAAAATAAACACAGCCAGGTGTTCGCACAAATTAGGAGGTTGTCTGATATAGATTACGATCTAAGTACGAGTTGGGAAGTCTCTAGCAGTTGCTTTTATGTGGCATTCGGTAGCAGCTCGTGGTGTAAAATTCCCTCTTCACTTGCATATACACCACTAAAATCTGGGGGCTCAGCTTTCTCACCCTTGTATTTGGTGCTTTGTTGTCAGTGTGTGTTTGGGGATTGAAATTTTGTGCTTGTTTTTGCTTCAGGGGTTTCCATCTCCCTCCACGCTGCCTGCGGGGACGGGAGCACGGGGAGGCTTCGCCCGGCTCCTGGGTGCCGCTCGCTGCTGCAGGCAGCCACGCTGCTCGGCCCAGGAGCATCTGTGTGACCAAACGTGAGTAAAATTTGGGCTGAGACTCATCCCAGCAGGGATTTCTGGGGCTCCTGCAGTTGTTACACTTGTTTTTAAGCCTCTCCGTGGCACGGATCCTTGCAGCCTGAGCCCGTTACGCGCGGTGGCGTTGCGTTTCCTCTGCCGTGCCTGGCAGTGAGCACCTTCCTTGTAGGCTGTGTTAATCATGGAAAGCTCATTACAAGGGAAAGATTCATAAAACCTTATCTTCGTTCTCAAGGTCTGTTTCACAAGGGTAGTAGAAGGTAATTTACTGATCTTTAGTAACTGCCATATGTTGGCCCGTGAAAGTCCTTGCGCAAAGAGGAGCTCCTCATACTGCGTTCTGCCTCTATTTCTCCATCCCAGCACTTTCCAAACCACTCAGCAAATCACTTCTGGTCTGCAGGGAAGTGATACCAGATTTCTTTTTTAAGCCATGCTCCTTTTGCGTAGAACTTTCAGGATTTACCCCAAAGTTTTGGGTAGGAAGAAGAACATGGTTTCCTTGCTTTTTGAGGTGGCGTAAAGTTAGGGACCTAAATGGAGACATGTAATGCCTCACAGGGATTATCAGAAACAAGCAATGGAAAGAAAACATGCCATAAATCCGAGCCTTTCTGTAAGCTCTAAATCTGTTACACATTAGACTGTACTCTTGTAAAACAAAAGTGACTGCACCAAATAGGGACCATTATTGTTTAAATATTTCTGCTGGGAAATGCTGCCTGAAGAGGAGACACAATAGCTGGCCTGACGCAGGATTTATCAGAGGAAGTTGGCACCAGTATATTTGTAGGGAGCAGAATATGCTTGTAGAGATTATTCCAGATTTACAGTGATTAATAATGGATTGGACATGGCAGACTTCAAAGGTTTGGCTCCCTCGCCGTTCGGTGGTATGGAGTTAAAATAGCAGATTTGATCCAGAGGTTTGGATGACTTCTGTCTCAGGGAGCGTGGCTCTTGGCCAGCCGATGTCAGCTCAGCCTGGCCCCTTGCGAGCTGATGCTGTGGGATGGGAGCTCGCTGCTGCAGCCAGGGGCAGGGGTGGTCAGCAGCCGAGGGCTGAAACCAGCCAGCAGGGTCGGACATCCCTCCTGCAGTAATGTCTGCATGCACGCAAGCCTCAGGCTGTCTTTAAAGACCTCCCAGCGTACGCCGTGGCTGTAACTTGTGGTGTTAAACAACACAGCCCTTCGGGACTCGAAGTCTGCTCTGTGAGGCAGGAGCTCTGTCTCTCACCCCGTCTGGAGCCTGTGCAAAGGATGGCCATAAGAAACTGAAGACTTGTAAAATTAATATTAAAATAATTATGCTCTCAGAGATCAAATTAAATCTTGCATATGCTCCACCTGCATCTGTTTTCCTTCCCTGCTTGCTTGCGCTCTTGTGTGTGTGCGTTGATGTCAGATCCCTGCAACGAGCTAGGAAAAGGGTGGAAAGCGTGAGTTACCGCAGAGCGTCAGGAAAATGTCCTTCATAAGTGATAAATGTCTCCGTGTTAATCAAACGTTATTGTGTGTTACAGTTGGGAGGCATCTCAACTTGATGAAGACATTTTCCCGCTATCTGCTGTTATCTGGGTGCCTGGAAGAATTCCGGAGGAGCTCTCATCCTGCCTCCAGGCAGGGCTTATGGGATTTGCACCAGTCCCAGTTGCCATGGAGAAAGTGTTAGATAGCTTTAATACATCTGTGCGAATTTCTCCCTGGAGTTTTCCCATGACAAGCTGGACTGGAGGTAGCACATAAGAAGCTATAATCTTCCAACTGAATGAAAAAATGATGGATGGAGCATGAGGGGTGTAAACAGCTTAGTGAGGCTCCGACAGCGCACGGCGCGGCGGAACAAGGGCGCGGGTGAGAGGGGGCTCCTGGGCTGCACCTCCTGCGGACGAACCCCCAGAAGAGCTGCTGTGGAGGGGAGGATCCGGGGAAAAATATCTCCCAGGGAAAAACACGGGGAGCTGGGGTTGGGGTGTGCCATGCAGCCATGGGACAGGCGTCAGACCCAGCCCGAGCCTCCTGCAGCTCATCAGCTCAGTGTCAGCACGCGGTTTCTCCTGCTGTCTGCACTCTCTGGCCTTCAGCCTCAACTGGATAAACCTCCTCCAGCCTCTGCATGGCTCTTGAAGCATCTTGGTGCCCTCTAAAAAACATCCCTCCGGGGACGCCCTGCTCTCCCCTGGCCCGGCCCCACAGCTCCTGCTCCCCGTCCTCATCCCCAGTCCAGGCGTGTGCCTCATTATTGCTGCTTCTGTCAATACAGCTAAGTGTTCCTGCTCCGCCGCCTTCTAATTAACATGCATTCAACTTGAATTAAAGGAAAGGAAATTAAATATATATTTGTTTTTGCATCAATGTATTCCAATTGAAAAATCCCAATGTTTACATTTGCTTGTTTGCTTTTTAAGCTGATGAAAACATGAATGATTCATAAAAACAAAGGAAAAAATAATTTCCAGCTCAGCATGCCAAGAAGCATGTCGTTCACCTGCCTGCATACCCTGAGTTCTTGATTTTGCTTTTTTTTTCCCCCAGATTCATCTGTTTGCCCTGCTTTTAACCAGAAGGTTGTTGAAGGAATGTGATGGAATCAAGTAAATCCAAGCTGGAAGTCTCCCGTGAGAGGAGACGGGAGGAAAACTAAGAGGAACAGAGGACAAAGTGCTGACTGTCAAACCCTTTGGTGGGTTTCTGCTTTTTGTGTTCAGAAATCGGGAAGCCAGGGGAAGCAGCGCCGGTACGCTGTGCTCAGAGCGAGCCTCCTCGCAAGCGATCCTTCTGTCAGTGCCTTCACTTTCCTCTTCCTTTCTGCTTTTCTTCCAACCCCCCAGTGGTACTTCTGGCTGCTTTGCTTTCTCTAAACATTATCTTTTCCGCAGTTGATGGGCTGTTGAAATATGAAGTCCATAAATCACTGGATAATGTCACATCCACTGCGGTGTCTGTCCCGTTCAGCCTCAGCGATCGCCCTGCCTGGCACGGAGGGAGCACAGGGCCTGGTGAGCAGCCCCCCCGTCCCGCAGCCTGGTTCCCTTCTGCGTGGGGCATCGCCGTTATCCCCAGAGGAACAGCCGGGGTGGGTGTGCTGGAAAACCAGCTCTGCTGTCCCCATGAGGTTCCCTAGGGTTTGCTGAGACCAACGTTGTAAAATTGCTGCCCAGCATTAAGAATTTAGGAGACATCCCCTGCGCCGGGATGCCCGGGTGCTCAGCTGGAGGATTGCTTGCCGTGGAGAGGAGAGGTGGCATGGCAAAGCATGTGCTTCTGCTGATACGCTGGGGTTAAAAAGTAATTAATTAGCTAGTTTATGGTGTTTTCCCATCTGAAATTAAAAACAAAAATTATGCAGAACATACAAGGTAATTAGGAAGCAGCAAGCTACAACACACCTTTAAATGAGAGCTCTAAAAAGCATGATGTTCGGCAGCAGATTTTTAATGTAACAGCTATTAAAAGCTTACACCCTCGATCGCATTCCTGGGAACATTCATCACGCTTCGACCTTCCCTCACGGATCCAGGTAGAGCCCTAGCAAAACCTGAATTTTTAATATTCCTGGTGCTTATCCATGATCAGATTTCCCATTTAAAATCTATTAGCCAAGATGAGAAAATTGGTTCATATTTTATGTGCCTAGTTTAATTTTTTTTCCTTTGCATTTACAACCGGCCCCTAGTGTTTCATCCACCCCCTGATGATTTAGCTGTGCAAGATGTTCCACCAATTTATTAGAGTGGAGTGTATGGAGCAGGTCATGCATATTAAACGTGAAGTTTTTACTACAGTTGGTTCAATAATCTGAAAGAAAAACATTATTATATTTTTTTTTTAATTTTTTTTTTTTTACTGTGTTACCAGCTGCCACTTCTGGAAGGGCAGCCCCCACTTCTGTCACCCATATCAGTCATTGCCAGTGTGTATTTGCTGGCCCAGAGAAAATCTTTGGTCAGACTGGGGTTGGGTTTATGTTAGTTTGCTCAGGCTGTCCTGCGAGGACGTGGCCGAGACATTGACCCCGGCACGGCACCGTGGGTTCGTTCCCACGCTGCGAACGCAATCAGGGATGAAATATTCCTGGGATAAGGCTGGCTAATTAGCATACAGTCAATTGCTGCTTCTCTGCTTTCGGATGTCTTTCACTTGTCAAGCTCGGAATCGTAACATAATTAGGATTTTTAGGACTAACGCTTTTACACGGAGCCCTGCGCTTCCTCTCCGGGCGCTGGGCAGGCTCGCCGTGCCGCGCGTTTCCTTCCTACCGGGCCAAAAATAGTGGTGGGGCTGTGATTGGCAGCCTGTCCTGGTAATTAGCCACAGGATGTCTGCTGCCAGTGGAAGCCAATGGAGACATCAGCAAAAGGGAAATCAGAGCAAACAACCCGAAACTGTGATCCAAGCATCTGCTGCTGCTGCAGTGACCGAGCTGGGTCCCCAGCCGGCTGAGGAGGGGCCGGCGGCCCCCACGGCGGGGGCCCTGCGTGAGACCTGTGAGTATTATGGGCACCAACCAAATCATTTCAACCATTTCAGAGGTCATTCTTTGTCAGCATGTTCCTTCATGGTTTTCCTTGTTTTTCCTGCTTTCAGCCCATGTGGCTGGGTGCAGACAGGGGGATGAGCACGAGCAGCGGTGGCGATGCTGGGCTGAGCCGAGCGGGCAGTGGGAGAGCACCAAGTCCTCATCCCCAAAATTCCGGCACCAAACGTGGCAGCGAGGAAATGAGAAGATGTCTTCTAGAGCTGAGATAAAAGCCACTGTATAAATAGCACCTATGCAAGGAAATACTGCGCCAAAAGCCAATGTTTGGGGGGATGTCAAAGGTAATTACTCTTCTCTGCTTTATTAGCTTCACACACGCTCGTGCTGGGTAATGACTGATCATGTTTATGCTGGTGTTTCCACAGTTTTCTCTGCATTCTGTGTTTCTATTCACTTTCCCCGCCTGTTTCCTCCCCGCCTTTATCTCTTTCTGGTATTATCTGTCTCTTCCTTTGATTTTAGGCTGCTCCTTTCTAAAAATGACAGGCGCATCTATATTCCCTGCAACAGCATCCTTATCTCCTGCCACGGGTGCGTCCTCTTGTCAGGCTCGCTCTCCAGATGGCTTTTTTGTATCAGTCCCGCAGTGGTGGCACGCTGTGCCCGTCCTGCACCGAGGCACGGCGTGGGCTCTGCTGCAGGGGGAGGAGGAGCTGCTGGTGCACAGGGCTGGTTTCTGCCTCCCCTTTTTTCTTCCTCACCCTCAAGAGCTGGTTATCCTCCCTGGGGATCGCCTGCTCAGTGTGCTTGCCCTGCACAGGCTGAGCCATCTCGCACTGGCTGCCAGGAGTGGGGAGCATCAGGGGATGGATTTGCTGTAGGCAGAGGCCTTCCATTCCACCCCACGGCTCCTGAATAGGAAGATATGGAGAAATGTAACTAAGAGGTGGTTTTCCATGGGTCTCCTGCAGTGTGGCAGGAGCACAAGGAGCGGGTTCGGGCAGTGGGGCAAAGAGAAGGGGCTCATGCTACCCAAACCCCTCGCTGGTGGCGAGTGGCAGTGAAACACGGTGCCTGCGGCTTCCTAAATTCACCTGGCACACCATGAAGAAAGAACAATGAGGACAACGTTTCCTCCCCAAAGGCCATTTTCCACCAAGTATTTAGGCAGCTGCAGCCGCAGATGGGTGACATCTCCCGTTAGCACAGGGACGGGTCTCCAGCTCCCGTGAAGATAAGCGCCTGAGCTTCTCAGTAGCCAAGATCAGGGATGCTGTGTCTCAGAAGGTGTTCCTGGCTGGAAGCTTTGGATGCCCTGAAGCAGGAAAAGATCTGGTGTTCTGGAAAAATTATGTTTGTTATGGGAAAAATGGTACACGGGAAGGGAGCTGCGGAGAGAGGAAAGGCCCTGGACGTGGGGGCCCCGTGCCCCACAGCAGCGCTGGCACCCAGCAGCTCCCATCACGGCCGGGAGAGGCTTGCCCATGGTGCTGGTGATGCTCCACAGCCCCGCGAGGAGCCTGGCACCTGCCGTGCCCATGTGTGAGCTGTTCTCTGGTTCTGCACCTGGAATCAGTACGGGTGTGCTTGGGGTATTTGCTTGTCTTTAGAATACTTGATTTGGTTTCTGAAGTGCTTGTTTTGGGGAGTAATTTCCCAAGCCTTGTCAGAGCCTCTTGCCCTGTCTGCACTGAGTGAGTTTGAGGGCTGTTTTCTAGTCTGCTTTCTTGTTTCTGTTTTGTTTTTTTTGGTTGGCCCTAAATTTACTCTGATGTGTAACTCTGCTTTGTTTTGCTGACTTGGGCATGAAAAGAAAAACGTTATCATCATCCACAACCCCCCTACGAGGCATTCGTCTCTCGGGCAGCCAGCTAAGCTTTATGGGTTCTGCTTTTCTTGCTCCCAGCCCTATTCCCTCATTCCTGAGCCATTCCCTTCCCCTTCCTCGGGCCTGGGCAGTCAGGGATGTGGGGGCACAGGGATGTGGGGGTGCTGCATCCCCACGGCCGTGCCAGCCCGGCTGCCCCTGAGCCCCTTCTGCAGGGAGAGCGCAGTAAATTGCAGGATGGCGAGGGAAGAAAACCCTGATATTTACAGATGACATTTAAGCCTGCAGAAGGCCTATGTATTTTACCCACTGTCACATTTAAAAGGCACTGAATTCATTATACCGTTGAATAAATCTTTTTTTCTTTTTTCTTTTTTTTTTCAAATGTATTTATCCTGAGAAGAGCCTCTGCTTCTCAGTCAAGAGCTCATCCTATTAGGACAAAGGCTCCCGGCTCGGGAACGAGCAGCTCAGCTCCTCCGCTGCTGTGCTGCCCGTAGCTGGGGCTCAGCCCCACGGAGGCAGGTAGAGATGCTGCTCGTGGCAGGGCTGGGGGCTGGCAGGGCTGGGGGCTGGCAGCGTGAGCCCCTTCCCCACCACCACTGCCCATCGGAGGGGTCAGGTCGCTGGGACGGAGCTCGGTGAGTCAGGCAGGGAAATAATCAGCTCCAAGCCGACGTGAGGAAACGCTTGGTATTTTACAGCTTCTTCCGTGCACTTTACAGAAACTAATGGTTACACAAATAATACCTACGGGATGATAACAGGCTATAAATAATTAAGGGATTCTCCAGCACAGAGCTGCACCGTGCAGGTTTGTGGAGCATGCGGACACCCTGGGGCTGGCTCAGGCCCCCTCCATCCACAGGGGGCCAAAGTTGACACCCTGGCTAAGATGCCCCTGCTGCTCCCCCCACCTTGGCAGCCTGCAGCTTCTCCCTGCAGGTCCAAGCCCCATGCCCCCTGCCCACCCCTGCCCCACCTTCAGGCGCAGCCGGCGGTGCGCGGAATTTCTCCTGCCTGCCCCGCTCCGTGCTCGAGTTGTGTGTGAGCTGCCTTGACGTCCGTCTGAGCTAAAGCAGCAGATCTATTTCTACATCTCACACGTGTGTCTAAGCTCGGCGTGCAGTGAGGATGTCTGCCTGCTGCTCGCCGTGCGTCACGGCGTGCAGGAAACCACTCTGCCCAGTGTTCGCACGAGCGTGGCAGCGTTTTTTTATATATATATATATTTTTTTTCCCTGCATACATTTGACTCTTTTTTTTTGAGAGCCATTGTGTAGAATTTCCCCATCTGTGGATGTAGCAGTTTCAGCTTAACTCCGGCTCTAAATATTGTGACAGCCTCTCTTCTGCAAGCCTAACGCGGAGTGTCGTGCGTGGTGACAGCCCCTCCGGCTCCCCCGCCAGCCGCGCACCGCCTGACGGAGCTTCCCGCAGCTGGCGGCTCGCCCCAGCACCACGCTGCCATCAGCACCAGCAGAACCAGGGCTCAGGGCAGTGTCGGGCAAGCAGGGCTGGCCCCGGGAGTGCATGCACCTGGCACAGCCTGAGCAGGGCTGGTGGGGTCTGTGGATGTCCCCACCACGCCGGTGATGCTGCCAGGATGTGGTCCCTGCATGGCTCAGGTGGCACCGTTCCTCCCGTGGTGTGCAGGGCTTGGACTGAAATACGTGGGGGTTTTTTAGATTGAGGAGACTCGTCCCTTGACACTAACCCATTCTGCATGACTTATGCAATGAGCTTGATCTCTTAATAAAAACATGAGCAGGAACGGCGGTGGCAGGACCCACGGCTCAGTAAGCCCAGAGAACAAAAATCTTCCGCATCACAACTGGGAAACGGCTTTTTCCTCGGCCCATTTTGTGGGGAGAAATTGATCCGTCTAATCTCTTATCTGCGGCTATGAAATTGTATTTCCCTCTTAATAGGCCTACAAATGTTACAGATGAATAGTTCATAGACATGCTGCAAATGGCAGGAATGCTAAAAGGAGACGTCGGATTTGTTCACTTTTAGTTGCAGAAACCAACACACAAACATCTGGAACTGCAGTCAGCTTTAACCCCCTCCATGGGGACCTGTCCCAGAAATGATGTTTTCACCCGATTCCTCCTTAAATCAAGTTGGGGATGTCTCTTAAGAAGTTGTGCTTATTTTTTTTCTTACATTCTGCTTGATTCAAGGGTATTAGGATTGCAGATGTGGACAGCCTGCGGATCCTTGTCTTGCACTGAATATTTTGATAGCTGGGGGGAAAGCTTGCTACGGGACTGATGAGAAAAACGGCAGGAATCAAGGCAGCAGCCCTGATTGCTGGCTCCACTAATTTGCTCTGCATGTGGAAAGCCACTGCGGGCTGGTCTTCCAGCCACCAAATGCCCTAGATATCTCAGGTCCCCACCAAAGTGACAATGAGCTCCTTCAAGCCGAGGGGCTCCCACGTTCTCCTCTGGTGCTGTTGCCTCCTCTTCGCTCTGTGGGTGTCCATCAGTGGGCACGGAGCGCGGTGACTGCCGCCTGTGTGGGCACGCTGCAGCTTTCTGGGCAATGGCACTTAGAAGTTTGCTGGCGCTGGCTCTGTGCTTCAATATTTGGGTTGCAAAAATGCGATTTGACAACGTTCTTTTAAACCTAAATTCCCTATCTCGTGTCTGACAGATGCTGTCTCATCTGCCAGCATCCCCAGCGCGAACGCGATGTGTCAATGTGAAGTGCTCCCAGCTGCGTCCGTCCACTCCGCTTTCATTCCCGGGAGAGATTCCTGGGACGAAAACCAGGTTGGCGTGATGGATCCAGCAGAGGTATGAAATGCTCGCTCCAGCCGGGGAATGTGGTGGTACAGGCGAGAACCCCAAACCACCGAGGAGATGGTTCAGGATGAGGTAAGCAGTGGCACCGTGCCCAGCTCCGGGTGGGATGTGGGACCTGAGGACAGCCTGAGGAGCACCCACCGCCCTGCGCCCTGCCTTCTCCTGGCAAGCAGATTTGGGAAGCACGCTGGGCCTCCTGGAGTAGTCTGGGCAATGGGTTTGGAGCTCCCACAGCAGCCATTTGGGGAGGTGTTCCCATGCGTCCCCTGCCCAACCCAAGGGACCGGGCTCCACAAAGCGTGCCCGTGCCAGGGCCGGCTCTGCAGCACCAGGAGGGATTAATCACTTTATCAGCCAAATACAGGTGGGTTAACACAGTCACTTAATCTCTGTTTAAGCAGCTGATGCTTAAAAAAATAGCCTAAATTGTATTTGCCAATGAGGTCTTTACAGTAGCTGTTCCTGTTGGTGTGGCTGAGTGCTGTAATTTAAATGTAATGAAGAAGGTAGGGAAAAGGGGAGGGGGGTGGCTGAATAAAAGGCAAAGCACTGTTATTTTCTCTATATAAATATATTTCTCTGGTAAAAGTTATATCAATAAGCTATCATTTCATTCACTACAGCCCATCTTTCCTCAAATAGCCCATCTGTTAATACAAATCTGGCGACACTCTGCTTCATTTGTCTTGATTGTGCTCAGGGCAGCAAAGCCGGCTCAGAAAGCATTTGGATTTTCAGCCCCCACTATTGGCATTCATTTATCAGCTGTGGGCAAAAAAAAAAAAAAAATACAATAAAAAAATAAATATATCCAACAGGTCTCTGTCCTCGTGTCAGCGAGCAGAGGCACGTGGTGGCAGGGACGTGTCCTCAGCTGCCTCCTGTGTGCCAGGCGATGCCCGGGCTGAGCAGCAGCCGCCCCACGTGTTGGTGCTGCCCACGTGTGAGCACGGCCCGGTGCCTCTTCCACCTTTTTTTTTTGTTCTAATCACTCGTACCTTCGTTTTTGTTGTGCGCTTCTGGAGATGAAACACCCCTGTCTGTTTACAGATCGCTCTGTATGCAGAGGAGTCGCTGCTGTCTCCTATTACCGCTGGATAAACACTGCTTGCTGCACAACATGACTTTGAGCGATGACAGGAAAACACTCGGTGCTGTCACACAGATAAAAGCCTGGCGTCCTCGGCACAAAGAAGCCGCAGCAGCAACGAAGTGATGGGGTTTATGCAGTCGATATTAAAAAGTCATTTGACAAAAAGCTGGAGGGAGAGGCCACGCGTGTGGCTGGCCGCTTGGTCACAGAGCTCGGGCGTTGGAATCGGGTGCGGGTTATTTGGGGAATCAGCTGCAAGCTGCTCCATGGGGCAGAGCAGCACAATGCCATCCCAAAGGCAGCTCTACCAGCAGGGTTTGGAGCAGAAAGGAGGCCACGGGCTGGCCTCATCCCCTCCTGTCCCAGGCCTTGCTGCGTGGCCTGATCGCCACCTTTGGCTTTTCAAGCACTGTGATTTCCCCACCCTTTTTCCTTTGGGCAAGGAATTCACATTTTCTTTTTACAGATGGAAAAAAAAATGAGGCACAGGCTCAGATGGCAAGGAAAAGGGCATAGAAAAATAAGCTTTTTGTGGGGTGCCTGCCTAAAGTACAGACTCATTGCCTGGGAGAGCCAACGCGCTGGGTGCAGCACTGGCTCAGGAAGAGCTTTGGTCCCCCCTGAAACTGCAGCTGTAGGACACACAGAGACTCCTGAAGTCGCAAATCAGTCTCCTGCTCGTACCATTACAGACAAGACTGAGCAGGAAAATGTGAAAATAACTCTGTCATCTGAAGAAACAGGCTTTATCTCCTCTGTCTGTGTTTTAATACAGGAAATATCACCTGCTTCTCCAGCTCCTTTCATAGGCAGAGAATTTATCTGTGAGCAAGCTAAGCCAATATAAGTTGAATAATATTTGTTGATTAATGTAGTCAATGAATTTCATATTTTCTTTAAAATATTTGCTGCATATTTCTGTAAATTATTCATCCGGTTTATAAGGCAAAGCAAATATTTGTGAATAGATATGAATTATGTGATTTATAAAAATGAAATATTCATGAGTCATTTTCATTATTCACCTCGTCCAGGAATTGCTACATAAATCTGATCAGGCAAATAGATTTGGTGAAGCTCAGCCCAAATTTATGGATGTTGTGGAGCTCGCTGGCTCCAGCACAGAAAACCAGAATGCATTTGGACCAAGTGTTTGCCTTGTGTGTTTGACGACGCTTTGCCTCCTCCAAGGTAGGCTCAAAATCAGTTGTGCGAAGTCCAGAGCACTAGGTAAAAGCAGTTTGGGGTTCACAAAACAGCTGGTTTCCTCAGCTGCAGGAAGGCTGCCCTTGCACAAGGTGCTCCCCAGGAGCTGTGCATCGAATATATGGAGTTTGCTGCACAGCAATGCCATCCCTCACCTTAAAGGAGAGGTAGGGAAAGACATGAAGACGGAGCCCTCGGTGTGCTCTGCAGCACCCGCTTCACGCCAGATGCCTTCCTTACCCTGAATTTTAGCAGAGGCAAGGGGGAGATGAGGCAACAGATCCTCTCCCCAGCACCGAAGCCCCTGTCAAGGGCAGCGAGGACGCCGGCGCTGCTGGGAGGACAGGCAGTGCCGCGGGGAGGGCACAGGGAGAGGTGCTGTGATGCGGAGGTGGCTGGGGAGGGACAGGAGCAGGCAGCGAGGCGCCTCCTGAAATGATGGCAAAGACACTGGAGGTTACAGAAATATATGAAAAAATCCATCAGCAGGACAACGGCAGCTCAGAGATGAGCTGGGTGTGAGGCAAGCTGCATCCCCCGTGCCAAGGGCTGGGAAAATACAAACGACACCCGGCGGTGCTGTTGCAGGCAGTAGTGTGAAGCAAAGCCCAGCTGTGATGCAGTGGCCTACAAACCCTCAGTGAGGAAAAGTGTGGGAAAAGCTAATTGCAGAGCACCTGGGAAAGAGCTGCGGCACCAAGGGAGAGCCTCTGCGACAGCCCCAGCCCGGCTGCAGCAGGACCCAACCTCACAGGACAGGAATGAGCCTGGAAACGAATCTGGTGCCAGCCCTGGTTAAAAAAGTAAATTCATTTAAAAAACTCGGTTAAGCACATGCTTAACTTTTAGGGTGTGAGTAATGCCTTCGACTGCACTGGGACTGTAGATCTGCTTGAAGTTATGCATACTCTAAGTGCGTCTTGGACCGGTGCCACCCCGCTCGCTGCTGTTCCATAATGAACTCGGCTTTTTTGCAAGCTGCAAAATGAGCACTCAAAAATTCAGCTTTGGGGACCTTCATATTTTCCAAAGTGTTAAAGTGCTTTCTTTTTAAATAGCAAGCTTCCATTTAGAAAATAGACTGCTCCACAGACAGCATTATACATCTTCTGCTACCGGGGTGTTTTGCTCAGCACTGCACGGGGACATCATAAAAACCATGTGCTTAGCGGAGTGAAATTGCTGACTCTATTACCCCGGTCAAGGAAAACTGTCCGTCTTCATCCTCCCTCTTATTAATCAGGAAAGGGCTGGCGATTCGGTGCTGTTCTGTACCGTGCATCCCAGATGCGGAGCCAGAGCTGAGAAAGCTGATTCAGTGGACATCCTTTGGGGAGGCAGAACCTGCGGGCTCGGCTCCTCTCTGCTGGAGAGCTCAGGTCAGTGGCTGCTCCTCGGTGACCTCTCCTTGCTGCTGAGCAGGACGGGAGGCAGCAAAGGACCGAGTCCCCAGGTGAGGGGTGGGCATGGGGGGCAGCAGGGACCACGAGGGGCTTTGTCTGCCCCAGGCAGCTCCCTGTGCCCAGCCGGCACGCCAGCTGGCAGCCCCTCTCCGGAGGTCACGTTGCTATCAAACAAGGCAGAAGCAGCGATGCTTTATTCTGGCCAAGGCAGTTCTTGAATTTTCACACTAAACTCAAAATCTGCTCAACCGTGGGATGGTATTTTTCTCCTTGCCGTCTCTGGAATATCCACAGAGAAGCCATTTATCAACACTGTGTGCGCATCCAATCTCCAGGGCCCTCTGCTTCACCTCCCATTATTGGCCATCTCCACAGCACTTAATGAGGCAGGTATTTAGAAGAAAGTGCCTAATGAATTTGAAAAGTTTTTGACCCTTTTATTGCAACATCTCAAATACCATGCATCTGGAAAATGGTTTTAATGTTGCATAGACCATTATAACCCGATGTATTTATTCTAGGCATTCTGCTCTGAGATGTTTAACAGTTTTGGGAACGCAGCCAGCAGGCTCAAGCAGTGGGACATTCAGCTGGCAGGACTTTTCCTTAGAGGGAGGCTTCCTTCTAATGCTCCCTTCCCGTACGCCTTTCATCCCCTGCCCAGCAAGCTTGGTGCTTTGTGATGCAGCTGGAGGTGGAAGTCAGCATGTGCCTGTGGTCGATGCAGGGAGAGCCAGCGCTGCTGGAGAACAGGGGCTGGTGCAGCTCTAACAGGAGCCGTGCCTGCCCACCCAGCTCATAAATCCTAGAAGGGAAGCCTGCTTTGGGATAAGTAGGTGCCTGACCAAAATCTGCTGCTGCTAAACTTTTGCAATTCAGCCTGAAATTCAGCTTACGCACAGCCTCTGAAGCACAAAGTCTCACCATTATTAGGGCCCAAAGAGCAAGCAGAAACCATCTGTGAGTGCCTCCCCCCTTTGATAAGAGGCTGCAGTGCTGGCCGTGGGTTAGAGGTGGGCTCAGGCACCAGTAGGTGCTGGCCTGCAGGCTCTACATGGACACGCTTTGTGCTGGGGTGGCAGCACCCAGGGAAGCGCTGGGCACAGGAAGGGCAAAATCTCTTTTTCAAGAATATCAGCGTTCCCATAAATATGCCTTTCCCACAAAGGGCACGCAGGCTGCTAATCTGCTCAGCAGCTGCTGAGCTGCCAGCTGCACGGCGGCGACTCAGGGGCTGCTGGAGCTGCAGGGCTCAGCGGCACCGGGCACACCTGGGTCTGCTCGGAGCCTGCCTTTTGCTGTATTTCCATAAAGGACGAGTTCCTGCGAAGCGAATGCTTTTTTTGGGAAACCAAGCACCGGGTGGGGACGTGAGCTCAGGCTCTGTAAGGGTACACAGCTCTAGTGAAGGAGAGAAATTGCACCCTGGGGTTAGTGCAGCCAGAAATACACCTTCCCATACCCGTCTGCATTCGTTTGGGTTTCTTCCTGGCTTTACATCATCTCGACAAAATAAAGCACAGAGTGCTGGTGAGGTGTCTGGACTCGCAAGTCAAACTTTACAGTAGTTTTGGATAATCCAGAACTTTGTACGCAAAAGTGAAGGGTTTGGTGACCTAGAGATGACTGAAGCTCTGAAGGGCGAGGCAGTAAATCGGCCCTCGTTCACCAGCCGTGCTCCAGCGAGACTCGCGGGCTGCGTCTGAAACGCATCGCTGCTCCGGTGTTATGGGATGCTCGCTGATTTATTGTGAGCATCTCACAATAAATACACGGTCCCAGCTTCCCGGAGGCGTGCTGCAGGCAGGGCAACGTCCTTGCACTTGGGCTCGTGCAGCTGGGGAAAATCCCTCCTCGGCTGAGTCCTAGGACAGGAATCTCCTGTAAAGCTGCTGCTGCTGGCAGGTAGAAAATCACAAAAAGCAGCTGCAGCAGTCTCCGGCCTCTGGAATTTTTATTATTTTTTTTTAATTTATTCTTTTCTTCCTGCTTTGTCAAAGTACTCTGTTCCTGAGTCTTTTATTTTTTAAAAAGAAAACCAAGATCCAATCTCCAGTCCTCCAAGGGACATTAATTGCTGCAACTTCAGAGCGTGCTGGGCCTGTCATTAAATCTTTGCTCAGCAGCGGACGGACTTGGAAACCACTTGTAGCCCTCAGAGGGAAGGGAGGGCCATGCCCAGGTGAATCAAGTGCATGCCTTCAAGCACCAGGAGGATGTCTGCCTTCCCCATAGCAGGTGGAAATCCCATCACAAGTGCTGAGATTGGCAAAGCCCTGTGCCCAGCGGGGAGAGCCCTGCCTGGGCTGGAGACCGGCCGGCAGCCCCGCCGGGATGTTTGTTTGTCAGCGTGAGGAAACAAACGCAGCCAAAGTAATGATTAGCTCGTGGCGATATCCACTATAATTTTAAGGTCTGTTAAATATGATTTAAATATTTTTTTACTCATTAGCAATAATTTAGAATGGTCCTCTTTTTTCAGAAACTTCAAGTATGATTGTAATAGCTTTGTAATTTTGGGCTCTATCATTAAAATTAATGATATCCTAATGCTCTATGTGCACTAGAAAAGTCTGATCAGTTTTTTTCCCTTTATATATCATTACTAATAGAACATTTTAATGGCTGTAATTTCCAGCTCTGTAGATGGGGGCCTAAAAATAGGAAGAAAGCCTATTCCATCATGCCATGCCAGCCCCTAAATAATTCAATTACATAGTCTGGAATATCTGTTGCTGGGTGTGTTCCCAACTGCAGATAACGATAAGTATGAGATATGACTTTTAGAGAAGGGCTTATTAGTGCAATGTCTTGACATCCCGACCCCAACGAGCTGCTGCTGTGGATGTCAGAGTGCTGCCGGGAGCACAGAGCGGGGGGAGCCCCGAACCATCCCAGCAGCCTGGTCTGATTTGTGCTTTGCCTCTCCCAGGTCCTTGCTCCAGTTTTTGTACAGCCGATTTTTGGTCCTTTTTGAGGTCAAACTACTCCTACCACCATCGTACTGCTGCCTCATCAGTCTCACCGCTATTTTTCTGCGTCAAAATGTTCTTCTGCAACCTGCTCTCCTCCAGTGTCTGCCACTCTGCAGGAGAGCAGGGAGGCCGTGGCGGCAGTGCCATCGCGGCCAGCACCGCTGGGGAAAAGTCAGGGAGGTCCAGGAGCTCCCGCAGAGGAGAGGAAACAACTTTTATACATCTTTATTAACTGTTCATTAATCAAACCTGAAAGAGGAGGATGTGGTCTGGCCTAGAGCGGCAGCAATTCCACCACAGCTCCAGCCACTTAGTAACCACCGCCGGAGATATCAGATCGTTTACAGCTAGACGTGACACAAAAGGCCAAAATAATTAACAGAGACACAGCTCATGGTCCAGAAGCCTCTGCAAAAAAGTCCCCGGTGTCCTCAGGCACTTGGCAGTGCCCACCACGACCTCTCGGAGCAGTTACCCACGGTGGGAGCAGGGACCCACTGGGGGAGCCTTGCCTGTGATGTGGTTTTCACTTCCACCTGGCTCCAGAAAAAAAACACAGAGGCATATCGTGTGCTACATTAAACACAATGGCTAGATTCTCTCTTTTACTGTCTCTTTTCCAGTTTTGCACTGCCCAGATGCACCGTCCCAGCGAGCAGACCCGTGCCGGGAAGGATGCACTGAGACTGCGCAGATCCATGTGTGCAGACCGAGATGAGATGCTCACCTTTGTGCCAAGTTTTCCATAACATTTGCCAGGTCTTAGCTTTTCTGTGGGCTCCCCTAGGGTGCCTGAAAATCACTTTGTGCCACTGAACGGGGAGTGACGGTCGGCCCCAGGAGAGATCAGGACAGCATCTGGACCTCACCCCCTCGCCAACAGTGAACCCTCGCCAAAGGGGTAAGGTCGAAATAACTATTTAGTTGGACGCACCCAGCACTCCTCCAAAGCCCAGCAGACTGTGAAGTTTAAAGTGTTTCCTCATTTGCATCCATGTAGGCCTGGCCTGCCTTGTAATGCATGTTGGCAATTAAAAATTGCCTTCTTGTCTCACTTGAGGGGCTCCTCTAACTGGAACGTCATTTATTGCTTAGTGAGGAGGCCTTTTATTTTTTGGCATTTATTTTCCTGTGGTATTTTCAGTGTTTGGAAGAAAAAGCCAAACAATAACAGAAAATCAGTGCAGCCTTCAGTTATTGGGCTCAGAGCAGGAACTGGTGCCTCCAGTCTGTGCTGTCAGAGCTCGGGCTGGCTCACACAGCCTGGAAACCCTCCAGGATGGCAAAATGAGCACCTGGAAATGGTGTGCGTTGAATGCCCTGACCTGTTAGCTGACATCCATCACATCCAGTGGGCAGGTGAGGTCTGCAGTGCTTTGAGACATCGGCTGAGGAGTGAGAGCGGAGGAACAGGCACGAGGCAATTAAGGAAATCTCAGTAAATGTGAAATCAGATATGAAAGGGGGCCGAGAGCAGATCGGTGCAAGCTGGTTGAAGCAGGAGGCTGAGCCAGCCCCGGGCTCGGCAGCTTCGTAGAGCGATGGCTCTGTGCAGAGGAGCCAGCCCTGCCTGGCAGTTCCAGCACATGAAATCCAAATGCAGCACGAGTCGCGGCTGCCTCGCTTGCTGCCCTGTTCCCCTGCCTGCAGGCTGGCAGCGCCGTGTGTTAGATGCAAAATGTGCTAGAACGGAGCCCAGGGGCTGCTAACCTGATTCAGCCGCTCCCAGGTGCCAACCTCAGGGCATAAAGAGGCTCCACGGGGAAGGAAGAATCAAAGAAGCTTGAGGAAAAAAAGTAAATTTGTTCTCAGGTGGGACATAAGCGAGGGCAGACTGGCAGTGTCTGGTCTTGGTATCAGACTATTACATCAGGTCTCTGAATCAATGTTTACCACGGGATGATGCATTTAATATAAGTTATTGCAAGGAGCTAATATTAGCCAGTTGCTAACTGTGTGTTCAGAAGAGAAAAAAAAAAAAAGCCTTTTATTCCGCCTCATCTTCAGTTCCCAGCACGGCAATGCTGTTTCAGTTTACTTTTAATGTTAAAGTTTGAGTGCCAAGGGGAATACTTTATCCCCTGAAGAGTAGCATCTACAACAGCAAACTGTAGGATAATAATACATCAATTTCAAATTGGCAACAGCACACTAAGTAAAAACAAGGTGCTGCTCTTTCCAACGCGCTGATTTACAGTATATCAAACCTGACCCTGTCTGCACTTTCCCTGCAAAAGGAAGTGATTATCTGCTTAAAGCCATTCACCAGAACACATAGCTAGGAATTTTAGGTGCAATATTCTGTATTTCAATTACTCTATGGAAGTGGCTCGCCTGAGTCCCTAAATTATTCAGGCTGTGTTTTGCCATAAAACTGGCAGTGCTCATTCAGCACCGAATCCTACCAGTTCCTTCGAATCCTACCGAAACATACATATTTTAAAGACAGAGTTATCTAAAAAATATCAGGCTTATCTATGTTGATCATTTGAAAGACCCGGGTCTGAAAATTTGACATTCTAGAGGAAGGATTTATTCTTTATCATGTTCATGTGAGGATATTATGATGCTTTTCTTATCAGTCTATTAAAGTCTCTCTAGCTGGATGTCAGCTCTGCTCCTTGCCAGTGCATCCAGCCATCCCCAGACTCCTGATGTTTCTGCTCCTCCACTGCAAGGTCACGGACTGCAATGGTAGCGTAGTTGGAGAACTAAAGCTGTCACCTTTCAAGGCATTTTAAGCAGTGGTGATTCAGTTCACTCTGATTAGCAAATGTACTTTGCTTTGAAAAGTGCAGAATAAAAACTTTCAGAGAAGGCAGATCAGATCCATAAGATAAAAAACTTTAAAAAGACCTGGCCAGATTCCCGAAGGGGAGCGTTGATTAGCTCAGCACCGAGGGTGACATCCTGCAGAAGGGACGTTTCCAGCAGCGCCGTGATGCTGTGCTCCCTCCCAGCGCTCACATTTCCTGCAGGCCACCATCCTTGGCTGCAGCTTGCCCCTTGCCCACGCTGCCGAACCCATAGCCAGCAGCTGTAGTTAGTGGCGAGGTGATTGCCATTTGAACTGCAACCTGTGTGAAGCAGAAAATGGCTTTATGGTGACCGTGGTGGGCAGTGCAGGAAGCCTCGGTGCCGTGCTGCTGAGCTCCGGGTGTGCGGTGAGCAGCCGCAGAGCCTCCGAGCTGTCAACGTAATGTGCTTCTACAGCGATATATTCAGCCTCTGTGTTCCAAACAGATACACTTTCCTATCTCAGAAATACAAATCTGTTGTTATCGGCTGCATCAGACTTCTCCTTCAGAGTATTGTTCCAGTATCGGTTATACGAGTGTTGTGGTGTTAGAAAAGATGTTAGAAAATATTCAAAGCTGTGCTTTGCTCTCCTTCTCTTTCAAACTCAGGCCCGAGTGGAGCTCTCCAATGCCAGATCTCCATGCTAGGAACACAGCCCCAGAGTCCCCACCACAGGGAAACCTACGACCGCAGGCAAGGCGGCAGTGCTACAGCAGCAGATCACAGAGAGGCTCCATCTAATTGCGCTTTGTTTCGTTTAATACGTTCCTGGGTCTCAGCTGATGCTCTTTGAATGAGATTCCCAAGTGCCTGATCTCATATTTGTCAGAACCGTGTAGATAGGGGAGCGAGCGTGTCCGACCGCCCTGCATCCCATTAGCACAGGGAAGCTTCAGAGAGATAATTTCCAAAGCGGTGCTGAACGCGTGGGGGAGCGGAGTCCCTGGCCAGGAATCAATGGCTGTGCTTGCTCGCTGCTGTTCTGTGCCAGCAGCTGCGGTGTGGAAGGCTGGGGCCAAAACCTGGCTCCCCCCAGGGAGCTGCCAGAGGGCACCTTCACCCCAGGGTGCTGCCAGAGCCCATGGGGGCCCCAGCACTGTGAGGAGCACCAGCCGGTGCCGTGGGGTGTCCCTTAGCTGGATCCAGCCCCTTACACCCCCACGGGGTGCTCCAGGACCTGGGGTGAGCAGGAGGGATTGACATGGAGAGAGCTGGACTCCTGGAGGAGGCGGTGAGGATCGTCCAGCAGCAGCAGCCTCCTGCCCACAGCACTTGGTGTAGTTATGCAAAACTTCTTTACAACCCAGGAGAGTGCTCGGGGCAGCTATTAGAGTGTAATCAATCAGTGTCAAATAAAAGCCATCAGAATATGACTAAGAGTCTGATTGCCTGTAACCAATGTAATTAGACAGTGAGGATTTTCTTTCTTTTCCTCTTCTTTAAAAAGGCTAAAAGCCTCCAAAATTGGAGCTAATATCCTGTGTCTGGAGCAAGGTGAATTCACATTTGACCTATTGTTCAAATAAAAATTCTCCTCAAATCCCGTCCAGCTCAGAGACTGTAATCACAGCAGGGACTTCAGCACAGACCTACCTGAAGAACACTAAAAAAAAAATAAAATCTCTAAAATTTGTTTTCGTTTAGTATGCGCAATCAAGCAGATTTCAAGGGTGATGGGGCAGGGAGAAGGTCTTCGTCTTGCTCATTAATCACCACAGCGCGAGCGGCGTTTGTCCCAGAATAGGTGAGTACCACACTGAAAGCGTTTGCTAAATAAAGTCGTGTGTGCATCAACAGCACGGCAGAGAAGGTCAGGACAAAGTGGGTCGGGGCAGGTGGGAGGAGGCTGGCAGCAGGTCCCCATCCCTGTCCCCGCCGGCACCCGCAGCATCGCGGCGCAGAGCACGGAGCCAGGCTGATGGGCAGGCGCAGGGGCTGCTGTGGGCACGGGGGCCCTGATGGGAACAAATTGCACCCGCTGGGCAGCCTCCTGGCACCGATAGCCCTGTCGTGAAGCAGGAGGAGGAAGGTGAGCTGCTGAAAACCTCCCACGAGTGAAAGAGGAAAATCAGCTCCCTGGCTCAGCTCTGCTGGTGGCGCGCGCTGTTAGGTCCCACCTGGGGAGCCCTGGGCTGGGATGCAAAGCCTGGCAGTGGTGTGTTCAGCAGCAGTGGCAGCAACAGAGATCTGTATTGTCTGCTTCTTCCAGGCTCAGAATCAAGGCTTAGGTTTAAGGGCTTTCCCTCTGATGACGCGAGGGCAGCTGAAGCTCCTGGCTCGGTTCTATGGGAACTGGAGAGCTCTCACGGCCCTGGCTGAGGGATTGCAGGGACAGAGGTGCAGACACCCCCTGCATGCCTTGCCTGTGCTTCTGGTAGGAGCCCTGTCTTCTCTGGGGGCTTTCGGAAGCAAAGGACGAGGCTTGAAATGCAGCCCCACGATGCTGCCATGGCAAGAGGGTTCTTGTGGCCAGAGCCCAGCGCTCGAGGGGCAGGCACCGCCTTTCCTGGCTGATCCCCGCGTGGGTGTCAAAAGTGTCCCGTATCAAAGCGGTCTTTCTGCCTCTCTAATACCATTGCACTGATTTCCCCAGGCTGACAAAAGTAGGCCATGTTTCCATATTCCCTGTCGCTGCTTATCTGTCGCCTCTGTGTGTCCAAATCCTCTTTCCATTTATATTGACTTTAATGAACTGCTGCTGTCCCGCGATGCCGGCGCCAGCAGAGGAGCGGTGCTGCCGTGCCTGCCCTCGCCATCCCACGCCACGTGCTGCATGGGATTATTGGCTTCTTAGTTTTAATTAACAGGAACTT